TTTTTTTTTTTGTAAGAAAACTTGGGAATTTTCATTCATGGATTTGGTGATGGAATAAAAGGTGAAATGCTGAAGTTGTTGTGACTGCAAATTGGGAGAACTTGCAAGATTATTATTTGGAGCAGAGGAGTGGAATTGAAAGTGATCTTGATTAACTACAACAAAGAGCTCAAGATCAACGAAGTGAAATTCAATAAAAGGAAATGTAATGTGCAAAACAAAAAATATGATAAAATTTTAAGTACAGAAGGGAAAGAAAATGGTGAAAGTGCTGGGATTTGTTAAAGGTTCTTAGTTTGGACCTGTGGAAAAAACCAACCCAGTGTCATTCTGGTATGTAATATGTAATGTCAACTTAATTCTTGTCCTCCTCAGGAACATCATCACTGAAATAGCACATTTTGATAGAGACCAAGCCTTAGGTGAAAGTGCTTGACTGAGAATTCATTCTTAACCTGGTCTTGGGAAGATTAATTCATAAGGAATTGCAAGGAAAAAAAAGGCAGGAAAGCAAAAAAAAGTCTTTATGTGAGGATGGCTGCTAACGGGCAACTTTAGAATAGGATGACTTCTGTGCATGCAGGCGTAGACAGTAGACACTCATGACAGAAAAGGAGAGAGTCCTTGAGGGTATTTATCTAAAGCACATTTCTCTCTGAAGAAGTAAGGCCTGGCCATCTCAGTTCTTGTCAAAGAAGGATAAGGCTGAGAGTATAGACTACTTTCTGAAATTAGAAGGCTGCTACTGTGCAATCCATACATTTGGAGCCTAGGATATACTTTGTAAGGAGAGCCTTTCCAGAAAGCTACCAGGGAGGGAATCCAAGATGTTTTAGAATGTTTTGGTTTTGGTGTTTTTTCAGGTCCTTTTAAAAGAGGAACAGTACTTTGCTCCTATTTTGAAATACATCTTTTTGTTTTGGATGAGAACTTCTAAATATCCTTGGCCTCCAACATAGTTTGATCTTTAACCTTTTTTTTAGGAATCTTTACTAACATTCACTGGTTGTACCTTGAACCCAGTTTGCACATGGTTCTTTTCTGTACTGTGCCGCTTCTTTGGACAGGGTGAAATGACAGCAACATCAGAATGACTAGATGGACAGATCTGGATAGATACATGTATAAGTTCATGTGTCCAGAATATATGCAAACAAGAATAAATACTATAGACTTTATACTTGCCTCCTTGCATTTTTTAATTTGTATGTGTGTGAGAGTGTAACACAAATTGCAGAATGTGCATCAGAATTTTAAGGAAGTGCATCTTTGTGAAAAAAGCATGTCAGTGCTTGTGTGTTGGATTTAATGTGCTACTTCCCTTTGTGTTTTTAAGCCCAACACTTACTAATGATAACTTGATTTTGGTGGTGAAAAATGTAAAGCATAGTGATGATAAATTGTGAGAAAATTTGCTTCTTCCTTTTTGTTACAGGCACTATGATGCTAGAACTCCAGGAAAGGGTAACTGAGCTGGAAAACTGGAATGATGGCAAAGGCCTTATCATCTATGGTGCAGGAAACACCTTTTGCTCAGGATCTGATCTGAATGCTGTCAAGGCAATATCCAACTCCCAGGCAAGTAGTGATGCAAATTAAGTTTTTGAAGAAAAATCTGCCATCTTATAATCTGATATCCCCTTCAGACAGAAGTGTTGCACTATGCTCCTGTTCCAATTTTACATGCAAGTCACAGAACAAAGCTTTTAATGGTTTGAAAAATGCTGGCAGACCCTTTAAGCCATGGCTTAAGTGATACTATAATTGATTACTAACACTGAATTCTTACATTACGTATTCTTTTTAACCTTTTATTTAAAAAATGTAATTTCATTTTTGCAGAGCATTAAATGGTGAATTTACACATCAAATAACCTATGTTTCAGTAGTGTGACCTTTAAAAGTAGATACAAGTGATCATCTCTCATAAAGCCAAGTACAAATTTAAGCAGCATGGCTGCTGTTACAGAAGGGTTTCAATTGGACCTGCAGAACATAGAAGGACAGGTACAGTTCTTGTGCTGTAGACCTTTGGCATTGATCTTGGAGTGCAATCATGTGGACTTATGTATCTAACTATGGGGCTGAAGAGATCAAGGTTTGATGGTGTGTTTTCACTTGTGCCAGCCTGTCTTGGCTTCACATGTGCTGTCATTCTTTTTAGGAGTTAATTTGTGGTTCTTGGAAATGTGTGGAGTAGGACAGGGAAAGGAGGCTTTCCTGTGCTGCTTGTACATCCTGGTTTGCAATAGTGGGTAACTGGCATCCTGGTGCTCTTTTGTTTCAGTATCAAGTTTCAGGATTTGCCCTTGCAAATTGATTTTAATTGAACATTACAGTAAGAGTATCAACTCAAAACTGATTAGTTTGGTATTTCTCTTCAGTGATAATTTTTATCTGTTGATGAAACTAAGTATCATGTAAACCAAAATGCCTTAAATATTTCTGGCCTGATTAAAAAAAAAAAAA